GTGCAACTGTCAGGGCGTGTGCGTGTGTTGGCCTGTCAGGTTATGTACGTGTGTGGGGCACTGTCAGGTGTGTGTACGTGTGTGGGCAGCTGTCAGGTTTGTGCGTGTGTGGCACTGTCAGGTGTATGTACGTGTGTGGCACTGTCAGGTGGTTTGTGTACGTGTGTGGCACTCTCAGGTTCGTGGCGTGTGTGGCCTTTCAGGTGGGAGCGTTGTGGCACTGTCAGGTGTGTGCATGTGTGGGGCCTGTCAGGTGTAATGTACGTTGGTGTGGCAACCCAGGTGTGTGCGTGTGTGGCAAGTCAGGTGTGGTGTGCTTGTGTGGCACTCTCAGGTGTGTGTGCTTGTTGTTGCCACTCTCAGGTGTGTGCGTTGTGACCACTCTCAGGTGTGTGTTTTGGGCCGTCGGTGTGTGCTTGTGTGTGTGGCACTGTCAGGTGTGTGTGTGTGGCACTGTTAGGTGTGCATGTGTGTGGCCCTTTCAGGTGTGTGCATGTGTGGCACTGTCAGGTGTGTGTGTGTGTGGCACTGTCAGGTGTGTGCGTGTGTGGCACTGTCAGTGTGTGTGTGTTGTGTGTGTGTGTGGCACTGTCAGGTGTGTGTACGTGTGTGGCACTCTCAGGTGTGCATGTGTGTGGCCCTTTCAGGTGTGTGTGTGTTGGCCCTTCAGGTGTGCTGTGGGTGTGGCCTGTCAGGTGTGTGTGGTGGCACTGTCAGGGTGTGTGTTGTGTGGCACTGTCAGGGTGTGTGGCACTGTCAGGTGTGTGTACGTGGTGGCACTTGGGTCGGTGTGTGTGTGTGTGGCACTGTTAGGTGTGCGTGTGTGTGGCCCTTTCAGGTGTGTGCGTGTGTGGCACTGTCAGGTGTGTGCGTGTGTGGCACTGTCAGGTGTGTGTGTGTGTGGCACTGTCAGGTGTGTGTGTGTGTGTGTGTGGCACTGCCAGGTGTGCGTGTGTGTGGCACTGTCAGGTGTGTGTGTGTGGCACTGTCAGGTGTGTGTGTGTGGCACTGTCAGGTGTGTGGCACTGTCAGGTGTGTGTACGTGTGTGGCACTGTCAGGTGTGTGTACGTGTGTGGACTGTCAGGTGTGCGTGTGTGTGCGGCCGCTTTCAAGGTGTCGTGCGTGTGTGGCACTGTCAGGTGTGTGCGTGTGTGGCACTGTCAGGTGTGTGTGTGTGTGGCACTGTCAGGTGTATGTACATGTGTGGCACTGTCAGGTGTGTGCGTGTGTGGCAATGTCAGGTGTGTGTGCTTGTGTGGCACTCTCAGGTGTGTGCTTGTGTGGCACGTGTCAGGTGTGGCGTGTGGTGGCATCCCTCAGGTGTGGTGATGTGTGGCCCACTCTCAGCGTGTGTCGGTGTGGCACTGTCAGGTGTGCTGGGCACTGTCAAGTGGTTGTGCTTGTGTCGTGGTGGCAGCTGTCAAGGTGTGTGCGTGTGTGGCACTGTCAGGTGTGTGTGTGTGGCACTGTTAGGTGTGCATGTGTGTGGCCCTTTCAGGTGTGTGCATGTGTGGCACTGTCAGGTGTGTGTGTGTGGCATGTTTTTTTTTTCCAGGTGTAGTGCAGTGTGTGGGCCACTGTCAGGTGTGTGTGTGTGTGGCACTGTCAGGTGTGTGGCACTGTCAGGTGTGTGCGTGTGTGGCACTGTCCAGGTGTGTGTGTGTGGCACTCTCAGGTGTGTGCGTGTGTGGCACTGTCAGGTGTGTGGCACTGTCAGGTGTGTGTGTGTGTGGCACTGTCAGGTGTGTGTGTGCAACTGTCAGAGTGTGTGTGTGGCACTGTCAGGTGTGTGTGTGGCACTGTCAGGTGTGTGTGTGTGTGGCACTGTCAGGTGTGTGTGTGGCACTGTCAGGTGTGCGTGTGTGTGGCACTGTCAGGTGTGTGTGTGTGTGGCACTTTCAGGTGTGTGGCGCTATCAGGTGTGTGTGTGGCAGTGTCAGGTGTGTGTACGTGTGTGGCACTCTCAGGTGTGTGTGTGTGTGGCACTGTCAGGTGTGTGCGTGTGTGTGGTCCACGTGTGGTCCCCGTCCGTGTTTCTCCCTGCACGCGCAGCACGAGGCGAGCGTTCGAGGCGCTGTCCCTGCGTCTCCGTCTGTCTGGGCGGCCTGTGCTTGCGGGTAGGCCCGCGCCTGTGCACAGCCCCGCTCAGTGCCTGCCTGGCCACTGTCCCCCAGCCGCGGGGAGCTCGGTCCCTCCAGCACCAAACAACAGAGACCAGCCCCAAGCCCCAAGCCCCAGCCAATGCGCAGGAGGGTCATGTGACTGCAATTTCACCACCAAGCTCTGGCTGGGGTGACCCCCCTGTCCCCAAGACAGCAGGGTGTAAACTCGGCTGGGCTCCTGCCCGGCACTGCGCCTCATCAGCCCTCCAGTGTCTCCTAGAGGTTGGACAGAGCGAATTCTCACCCCCGCAGGGCTCCCTGGGAACGCGTGGTGGCCAGGGCCCCAGGTGCAACAGTCTCTCCATACCCTGGGCCACCCAGAGCCCCGCACAGGGCAGGGGCTCAGCCAGCGGCCACTGACTGGACAAATGAACGATGGGTGTTCGTGTCTGTGTGATCGGGGGCCAGGCTCCAGGGCCCAAGTACCTGTGGGCACAGGTTTAAGTCCTAGAGGCATCAAATCCCGGCTTTCTGCAACGCCAGCGTTGAAGCAGATCAGCACTCAGCCGTGGGGGCCATGCCTGTCTGACCTCCTGCAGGTCACCTATCAGGAGGCACCAGCACGGGGGGAGCAAGGCGAAGACATAGGATGGTTTCATCAAAAGACCAATCCCAAGCTAAACCCCTGTCATTTTGCAGGCCAAGGCACAAGGGAGGCCCATCATCTCCCTGGACTTCCAGCCCCTCGTGGCGGGGCCATCTCTCATGCAAACATCTCCATTACCCCAAGATTCACTCTGAACCCTCTGTCCTCCTTCTCTCCTCCCTTGGGACCACAAACCCACCCTAATAGTTGTCACCCTAGGGCCAGCTCCCAATCCAGCCCCTATCTGGTAGCAGCTGGGGCCAGGCTGAATGTCTGTCCCAGTCTGAACCATAGAGGCAAAAATCTAGGAAAGCATCTCACCCCAGACTGAGCCCCGACCCTGGCCACACACTGAGCCTGGACCTCTTTCTAGAGACAGGCCACTAATTTGTCGAGTGGGCAAAGTTATTTCCAGGCTCTGGGCCTCAGTTTCCTTACCTTTCTAATGGAGAGTCTTGGCCTGGGGTAGGCACTGAATCAGAAAACCCCTGTTCAGAGTTGGCCTGAAGTCCCCCCACCACCACCCCACCACCCCACCACCCCACCACCCCACCACCCGACCTGGTGACACAGAGACGCATCGCCTGCTGTCACCTGCCAGCCCCACCCCCACGCAACACTCTTGGCCCAGGCATCACTAATTCTTGCAGCCACCGTGATAAATGGCACTGTTGGCAAAATGGCATCTTTCCAGTCTGCTACAAGACAGATGGGTCCCCAAGCTCCCTCAGCCTCCAGAGAGCCGGGGGGGATGCTTGATGAGGAGGGGAGGGCAGGCCAGCTGCGACGCCAGGGCTGGCGCAGGCGGGTGGGGCAGGGGCTGCAGGGCCCAGAGTCGGGCATGTCCCCAGCGGCTCGCCGTGAGCCTCTTTTCTACATATTTAGTCATGTGTTTTCTTTTTAATATTCCAAAGATATTCTCTGTTCCTTTCTGTCCAAAGTTAGGTCTTCAATTCAATTTTCATTTTCAATTAAAACCTGAATATTGCTCAAGTTTACAAGGACGAGCCGTTGGACGCCGGTTCCGAGGTGGTCCTTCCTTCCTGTCTCCCTAAGCTCTGGCAGCCTGCTGCAGAAGGAAGTGCCTCCGCCCGAGTCCTTGAGTCTGGGCCTCTCCTCACCCGCCCTCTTGAAGCCCCTCTCCCTCGGGCTGCTCCCACTCCCCTCCCAGCCTCCCAGCTGCCCTCAGCTGCACCTGCTCTGGGCCTCACCTTGGCTCTGGCTGCCAGGTGGGGTGGAACTCCCTCCACACCTTTCTGCTGGGAGAGGGTCTTCTTCCAGGTGGAGGTGAATTGGGGATCCGGATGCCAGGGAAGAATGAACACCAGCCCCTGAGACCTCAGCCTCCCCAAAGACCAAAAGCAGAGAAGCTGGTTGGGGGTGGGGTGGGGAGTGGGACAGTCTTGGACCTGAAGATCGAGGCAGTGCTGCCCCCTGCTGGCTATTTTGTGGCTCCTCCTCTACCAGGCACTACCAGGCTAAGCTGTTGAGGCTGGGGACATAGCAAGTGACTCTCGAAAGACAGCATGTGACAGGCAGACCCCTCCCAGCAGCCTACTAGCTGACCACAGCCTCCAGGCTCTGCCCATCCTGTCCAAGCTTCTCCCACCGCCCAGAGAATCTTCCAGCCCGAGCACCCTCAGGACAAAGCCTGAGGCCCCTCCCCATGCCCGTGACCTGGACGCTGCTAGCAGCCCCGCCCCTTGCACTCCCTGTCCCTGCACCCTTGGTCCCACTTGCATGCTTTTGCTCTCACCTTCACCTGCCCCTACACAATGTCTCCACTTGTCCTCTTGGCCACTCCCCCAGGAGAACCCCCTCTCCCCCATCTGAATCAGAACAGCCCCTCCATCCTCTGCCTGCACCCCCCTTGCCCCACTGCTCTCTGGGGTACTGGCCAATGTGAGCGATCAGAGTCACACAGTTCTGGAACTGGGGGCAACTTGGACTGCTTCCAGACCTGCTCCCCTTCACTGTGCAAAGTGAAGGCCCAGAGATCCTGAGGCCCAGAGAGGGGCAGAAGCTTCACAAGGCCACACAGCATGTTGGTGGCAGAGTTGGAACTGGAACTCAGCTCTCCAGAGTCCCTGCCCAAAAGGCCCCTTGGAGGACGCACAAGAAGCTTCCCTCCTGGTGAGCCAGAGCGGAACTCCTCAAGGACGGGAGCTGCACGGTTCCTCCCAGTGTCCCCAGCCCCTCAGCACAGCAGGGCGCGCAGGAAGCAGCTGTGAGTATACGCAAAACAAAGGGATGAATAAATGAAAGTATTTATCTAATGCTTTCTGTGTGCTGGACATTCAGGAAGCACCAGCTTTGCTACTTGAAATCTTGGTCAAACTGCTCAATTTTGCATAGAAAAATGATTTCTGGGGGAGGGGGAGTGGTCAGTGCACCAGGAGGGCCTCAGTCACGGATGTCAACGACCAGCGGGCACAGGTGGGGCGAGTGCTTGACGCCCATGCTGAAAGCGGGCATGCGGGGCTTGTGCGCCGTGACCTGCTGGACCTGGTGGGAGCCCGGGCCCGGCCGAGGCGTGCGGTCGCACGGGTAGCTGAAGCGCTTGGCCATGCTGTAGACCGGACTGCGGTTCTGGTAGACGGACGGCTCAGGCCGGGCGTGCGCGGCAGGGCCGGGGCCTCCTGCCACATCCTCCTTGTAGAACCAGTACCTGTCTGCGGAGGCCAGACTGTAGCAGGGGGCGGCCCGGCTGACAGGGGCGGTGGGCCCCAGCAGGGCTGGCAGCTGGTACTGGTTGGGGGCCGGGTTGGGTTCCATCACTCTGTACGGGCATCGGTACCCGAAAGTATGCCGGGGAGCCTTGCGTTCCGCCGGTGGGGGGGTCTTCTCAAAGGGGTAGTGGCAAGGGGCCAGGGTGGGGCTCAGGCCTGAAAGTGAACACAGGGAGGGACAAGAGGGGAGAGGTCTCAGGGCAGGGACCAGGCCACATTCCCTGGTTAGCCTGCTGTGACTTCAGCATGACCACCTTAGCAGCAGGACAGGGACATCACTGCCCCTGCATGGGTCTATGACAGGGAGAGGGACAGCAAGATGGTCACTTAGGCCATCCTGACATCAGCAGGATGGCACTGTCCTCATAATATTAAAACAAGTGTCATCAGAACTTCACCCTTGGGCTGTCAGCATCCTGACACTGTCCCTCTGAGAGCACCATGGAAACATTCTGAGATCACCAGGGCCTGTGAGCTCATCAGCGTGGCAAAGTTGCAGCCACCACACCTGAGCCCCAGGACACCCTAACCCCGTGCTGTGACGTGCCTGCTTATCATAACATTGGCTTCCAGACACGATGATGTCAGCATCGTGACACTGGTGTCTTGATGTGCCACTGCGGGGAGATGCCAGCATGCACAGCTAGCCCTGGGGAAGGCAGTCGTAACCCCCGCGCCTGCTAAGTCCTAAGGGCGGGCCCCCATCCCCCAACCTCCCAGCCCCCACTTCCCTCCTCAGCCCCATCTTACGCTGGTTGGCAACACGCTCCTCGCTGGGGACCTGTGGGCAGCTGGACATTCCAAACCGGGTTATTTTGGGATCCAAGAAGTAGCAAGGCCCAGGGCTGCATATGTCCGTGATCCCTGCAGGGCAGCCAAGGAGAGGCTGGTCAGCCCCCAAGGCCCCCTCACACGGGGCTCCCTCCCCCAAAGAGGAGCAAGGGCTCCCTTCACATCCCTTTGGCCCTTGGGTGTTTGGGGGCCCTTGATTTCCTCATCTGTAAAATGGGACTTTTAACTCATGACCCGCCATTTTCAAGAACTGGTTCAGAGGAACGGATGAACGAACAGCAAGCAGCGCAGCAGCTGTCTGGACTCGAAAGGGCCCAGCCCAGACCAGGGCTGCTGCTGCTGAGGAGGGCGTGTCCCCCAGGGAGAGACCCCGAAGGCACCCTAATCTCAGACCCCCAAGGACACACCACCACGGCCTGCTCAGCCTTCCTCTCTCGGACCGGAGCCAGCAGCCCCAGGTCTCCTGTGGCCGTCTGCCCCACCCTTCCAGGGGCTGTAGGCCAGCTGGGAAGCTCTGGGGTGGCCACCCCGACTCCCCACTGCTGCCCCAGCCGCTCCTGCCCAGCCGCTGGCAAGCGAACCCCGCAGGACCGTGGCAGCCAGAGCTGGAGGGCCCAGCCGAGGGCCAGGCAGGGAGGAGCCCTGCTCTGCTGTCTGCACGGACCGTGTCCCGCAGGCTCCCTCGGGAGTCGGGCCGGGGACCCCCGGAGTTACCTCCAGAGGGATGGGTCACTCGGCACCTCTGCCAGCTCCCTCTGGACCCAGGAGGCCACTTGAGTGTGCCCCTCAGTGCAGACCTCGGTCGCTAGCGTCCTGTGGCCTCTCACTGCCCCACACCCCAACAGGGACCCTGCCCCCGTGGGGAGGCCGTGGGGCGGGGGTGTGCTCACGCTTCTGCGAGTGCCGTGTGTGCAGGGTGTACGCCGGCTCCCGGAACATGGAGCTGTCGTGGTCGATGTAGCCCGTGCAGGACGGCCGCAGGTACTTGGCAGGCCCTGGCCCTGTGAGGACAGACAGGGCAGCCTTCGCCTGGGCCCGCCGGGCAGAGGCAGGAAAGCCCAGACACAGCGCACTGGGCCTGCTCTTGCTGGCACCACGCTGCAGCGGCCCCACCCCCATGCCGCCAACTCGGGGAGGGCAGTGGTCCCAGACAAAACGCAGCTTCCCTTGAACAGGCAAAGCGCAACAAGAAAGGCAGCAGTTGCAGTTCGTGGGGAGCCTACTCTGCGCCGAGTACCCTGCTACGCATCTGATACGGATTATTTTGGTCAAGCCCCTAACCACCTCGTACGGTAGGTAGACCCTCCTGTCGTTCCCACCGATGAGAATATGGAGGCTTAGAAACATCAATCTGCCCAAAGTCACACAGGCTGGTCATGTGAAAGTTCTCATAATCGGCCAAATGCTTGAACCCAACCAAGCATCTGATCACTGCACCAAACCACCTCCCACTTAGAGCAATACTCAGTCATTAACAACATAGTAAGAATTAGCTTGCTCTCCCCTGAGAGTAAGATGAAGGGAAGTGAGGAAAGCTAAGCCAGGCTCGAGGCTCCCAGCCTTTCTGAAACTGGCTGCCTGCCTCGTGCTCTCGGCCTCCCCACCCCTCAGACAATGTCGGCAGCTAACACCGCTGTAAAGTTCAGCTTGGAGGTGCAGGTCTTCTGTAAGGCTTTGAGGAAGTCGAAGGGGCCTTGCAGGAGGCAGGCCGAGGCCGAGACAGGCTCCGCAGCCCTGTGACAAGGGGTGGGTCCCAGCCCGCAGGGCTGCTCTCACCTTTGATTGTGGCCATGATGACAGGGGTCTGCTTGATTTCCTGCCATGACGGCAACTGCTCCTTCTTCTCTGGGTGCTGCGCGTAGAACACAGATTTCCTGGCCCCCTGGGGCAGTTTCATGGTGGGGCCGGGAGGGAGCACTGCAGCTCTGGCTGGACCCGAGCGCAGCCCAGGAGCCGGGCACCCCTGCCCAGGCACTATGTGGGGCCGAGAAGGAGCCCAGGCCGTCTGGGGTGCAGCCAGCTGCAGGGCCCAGCAGGCTGGAGCTGGGATGACATCACAGCAGAACCTGGACTGTGAGACTCGGAGTGTTTATTTCCCCTGGTTGCCGTGGCGCCTGAACCATGGTGTAGAAGTCTTACGCTGTGAGCCGAGTTGTGGAACCCTGAGAACTCCGCCCCACTGTCCCCCACCACCAGCCAGGCTAAATGGCCTGGGAGTCCCCCAGACCTGGGTCAGGGGAGGGAAAGGGAGAGGCAGCGTCACAACCCAGACGGCTCTTCACGTCCACGGGAGCACTCAGGCTGGGGAAAGGGGCAAGGGCTAAGGGGTCCTGCAGCACAGACAGCCCCGACCCAGGGCCTCTGCCCTCACCCCTCCATCTATCTCCCCAAGCTCCAGTCATGCTCTCCCTTCTATCAAAGCCTGTTTCTCTCTTGGCAAAGGATCAAGTCAACTACTTCACACTAAGGTATGACTGTCTAAATAGCGCCTTTCCAGACTCCAATCCCAAGGCATGGTATCTTTTTTTTTTTTTTTTTTTGAGACAGAGTCTCGCTTTGTTGCCCAGGCTAGAGTGAGTGCCGTGGCGTCAGCCTAGCTCACAGCAACCTCAAACTCCTGGGCTCAAGCAATCCTCCTGCCTCAGCCTCCCGAGTAGCTGGGACTACAGGCATGCGCCACCATGCCCAGCTAATTTTTCTTTCTACATATATTAGTTGGCCAATTAATTTCTTTCTATTTATAGTAGAGACGGGGTCTCGCTCTTGCTCAGGCTGGTTTCGAACTCCTGACCTCGAGCAATCCACCCGCCTCAGCCTCCCAGAGAGCTAGGATTACAGGGTGAGCCACCTCACCCGGCTGGTGACAGTTTTTATTTCTCCCTTTTGTCTCCCTTTCTCCCCTGAAGGGAAGTGCGTGCTTCCAGCCTCTGGGGGGGGGGGAAGCGAAGGCTCCACAAGAGAAAAAGCAAACAAAGGACAGAGGGACCAGGCGCCCCACCCGGCCCCACGGCCCGCACAGACCAGCGCCCACACACAGCCCTCCTCTGGCCAGCGAGAGCGGCTCTGTCATTTTGGGGGTAATTGAAAATGTCGATCTTTATTCTAGAAGATAAGCAGGGCCCCCCGATGCAGGGAGCAAGAGGGACAGAGAGACCCGGAGGCAGGGAGAGAGCCCTGTGGGAGGGCCCTGTGGGAGGGCCCTGTGGGAGGGGTGGGGCACGGTGGGGGAGGACAGAGGAGAGAGCCAGGAAAGGCGCTTCTGACACCCCCCACCGACTCAGGGGGACGTGCCCTGCAGCCCCCCCACCCCTGCTCCAGGGGTGAGGAGTGAAGAGCAGCGGGCAGGAGCTCCGGGTCTGCCCCATCCCTGAGTGCCCCCGGGAGGACACCTCTGAGTGCGGGGCAGGTGGAGGGGGATGGCCTGTCCCCGTGGGCCAGGGCTCAGACACAGGATGCCCCTCACACAGCCACGTGCACCCTGCCCAGGGGTGGGGCCCAGATGGACTTGGAGACCCCTAACTCCCCTCCCATCCACCACTCCACTTGCCCTGCTCACCTCGTGCCCACGTGTGTGTGTGTGGCACTGTCAGGTGTGTGTGTGTGGCACTCTCAGGTGTGTGCATGTGTGGCAATGTCAAGTGTGTGTGCTTGTGTGGCACTCTCAGGTGTGTGCGTGTGTGGCACTGTCAGGTGTGTGCGTGTGTGGCACTCTCAGGTGTGCGTGTGTGTGTGGCACTGTCAAGTGTGTGTGGCACTCTCAGGTGTGTGTGCATGTGTGGCACTGTCAGGTGCATGCGTGTGTGTGTGTGTGTGTGTGGCACTGTCAGGTGTGTGTGGCAGTCAGGTGTGTGCATGTTTGTGTGGCACTGTCAGGTGTGTGTGTGACACTGTTAGGTGTGCATGTGTGTGGCACTCTCAGGTGTGTGCGTGTGTGGCACTCTCAGGTGTGTGCCTGTGTGGCACTCTCAGGTGTGTGTGTGTGGCACTGTCAGGTGTGTGGCACTCTCAGGTGTGTGCTTGTGTGTGGCACTGTGGTGGCACTCAGGTGTGTGCTTTGTGGGCCACTGTAGTTGGCATCAGGTGTGCGGTGCCGTGTGTGGCACAGTCAGGTGTGTGCATGTGTGTGTGGCACTGTCAGGTATGTGTGTGTGGCACTGTCAGGTATGTTGTGTGGCACTGTGAGTGTGCACTGGTGGGTGGCACTGTCAGGTGTGTCGGTGCGTGTGGCACATCTCAGGTGTTGTGCGTGTGTGGCATGTCAGTGTGTGTGTGGTGGCATCTCAGGTGTGGTGTTTGTGCACTGTCCAGGTGTGTGGCACTTCTCTAGGTGTGTGCTTGTGTGATAGTGCAACATGTCAAGGTGTGTGCGTGTTGGCACAAAAGTCAGGTGTATGTACGTGTGTGGCACTCTCAGAGTGTAAAATTGGTGGCATGTCCAGGTGTGTGTGCGTGTGGTGCCACTCTCAGGTGTGTGCGGTGTCTTTGTCAGGTGGTGTGCGTTGTGGCACTGTCAGGTGTATGTACGTGTGTGGCACTCTCTCAGGTGTCTGCCGTGTGTGACACTCTCAGGTGGTGTGCGTGTGGACCCTCTCAGGTGTGTGTGGTGGCACTGTCAGGTGTGGTGCTTGTGTGTGTGGCACTGTGCAGGTCTGTGCTGTGTGGCAACTTCTTTCAGGTTTGCTTGTGTGGTCACTCTCAGGTGTGTGGCGTGTTGACACTCTCAGGTGTGTGTGTGTGGCACTGTCAGGTGTGTGCTTGTGTGTGTGGCACTGTCAGGTGTGTGTGTGTGGCACTGTCAGTGCGTGTGTGTGTGTGTGGCACTGTTTAGGTGTGCGTGGTGTGTGGCCTTGTCAGTGTGGTGCATGTGTGGCACTGGTCCAGGTGTGTTGTTGTGTGGCACTGGTCAGGTGTGTGTGGTGCACTGTCAGGGTGCGTGTGGGTGGCACTGTCAGGTGTGTGTGGTTGTGGCACTTTCCAGGTGTGTGCGCCTATCAGGTGTGTGTGTGCGTGTCAGGTGTGTTGTACGTGTGTGGCCCTGTAGGTGTGTGTGTGTGTGGCCTGTCCGGTGTGTCGGTGTGGCCTGTCAGGTGTGTGGCACTGTAGGTGTGTGGTGTGGCCACTTTTTTCTCAGGTGTGTGCGTGTGGTGGCCGCTGTCAGGTGTGTGGCACTGTCAGGTGTGTGTGTGTGTGGCACTGTCAGGTGTGTGTGTGTGGCACTGTCAGGTGTGTGTGTGGCACTGTCAGGTGTGTGTGTGTGTGGCACTGGTCAGGTGTGTGTTGTGTGTGGCACTTTCAGGTGTGTGGCACTCTCAGGTGTTGTGGGTGGCCCCAGTGTTCAGGTGTGCGTGTGCTGCTAGAGCACTGTCAGGTGTAGTGTGTGTGTGGGGGGGCATATTCAGGTGTGTGCGCTATCAGGTGTGTGTGTGGCATGTCAGGTTGGTGTACGTGTGATAGGCACTGCTCAGGCTGTGTGCTGTGCTGTGGCACCTGTCAGGTGTGTGTGTGTGTGGCACTGTCCAGGTGGTTGCGTGTGTGGGCACTGTCCAGGTGTGTGTTGTGTGGCACTGTCAGGTGTGTGGCACTCGTCAGGTGTGTGCTGTGTGGCCTCGTCAGGTGGTGTGTGTGTGTGTGGCAACTCCTAGGTGTGGTGCGGTGTGTGGCCTGCAGGTGTGTGGCACTCTCAGGTTTGTGTGTGTGTGGCACTGTCAGGTGTGGTGGTGTGCACTGTCAGGTGTGTGTGTGTGTGGCACTTTCAGGTGTGTGGCGCTATCAGGTGTGTGTGTGGCAGTGTCAGGTGTGTGTACGTGTGTGGCACTGCGGTGTTGCGGTGAAGTGTGTGCGTGTGTGGCCACTGTCAGGTGTGACTGCAGTGTTCACTGGTGTGGCATGCATGTCAGGTGTGTGGCACTGTCAGGTGTGTGTGTGTGTGGCACTGTCGGTTTGGACTGTCGTGGTTTGCCCAGGTGTGTGCAGTGTGTGTGGCACTGT